TCTTGCACTTGGAGTGCTCTAGGGAATAGCTTTGGACATTCATATGTTCCAAGTTCATAGCTTAGTTTTCCCTTTGAACCAAGTTTGTGGGATCTCCACTCAACATGGTGGGGTTACCACTATGATCATTCTTTTCATTGTGGATTTTTAAGCCCATTCCCTCTAGCAAAACTGACAATTGATCTCTATTCAATCCTTTCGTCAAAGGATCAGCCAAATTTTCCTTAGACTTCACATAGTCAATGGAAATTATACCATTTGTGATCAACTGACGTACGGTATTATGTCTACGATGAATATGTCTAGACTTACCGTTATACAAGTTGCTTTGCGCCCTACCAATAGCAGTTTGGCTATCACAGTGAATCATCACAGGCGGCAAAGTCTTATCCCAACATGGAATATCGGATAAAAAATTTCTAAGCCACTCGGCTTCTTCACCAGCTTTATCTAAAGCGATGAACTCCGATTCCATCGTTGACCGAGCTATACACGTTTGTTTTGTGGATTTCCACGAAACTGCACCTCCTCCAATACAAAAAACATATCCGCTAGTGGAGCGAGAATCTCTCGAATCTGATATCCAGCTTGCATCACAGTACCCTTCAAGTACGGCTGGATATATCGAGTATTTGAGCCCGTATTCAATGGTGTACCTCAAGTACTTAAGTACCCTTTGCAAAGCATTCCAGTGCTCATGACTGGGATTGCTTGTAAATCTGCTCAACTTATTCACCGGATAGGCCAAGTCTGGTCGTGTACAATTCGTCAAGTACATCAGAATCCCTATTATCTGTGAATATTCCAACTGAGCCATTGGTTGACCTTTGTTGACTTCAGATTTATACTGAGATCAAAGGGTGTCTTACACCTAGACTGTGCACCGTTATAGGTATCAAATTTCTTGAGCACTTTCTCTACATAATGAGATTGTGACAATACAATACCATCTTGGGTTCTGATAATTCTTATTCCAAGAATAACATCAGCCAAACCCATATCTTTCATGTCGAAATTTCTTTTCAACATTCTTTTTGTATCCATGATCACTTCATGGCTACTCCCCATGATCAACATATCGTCTACATATAGACATACAATCACAAATGTATTTGATGTACCCTTGACATACACACATTTATCACATTCGTTGATTTTGAAATCATTTGTCAACATCACGTCATCAAATTTCAAATGCCATTGTTTCGGAGCTTGTTTCAGTCCGTGCAAATATTTGATCAATCTACACACCTTTCTCTCTTGTCCAGGTGCAACAAACCCTTCAGGTTGTTCCATGTATATTTCTTCTTCCAATTCACCATTCAAAAATGCCGTCTTGACATCCATTTGGTGAATCTCAAGATTGTGCAACGCAACAATCGAGAGAAGCACTCTTATCGAAGCTAAACGCGTAACAGGTGAATAGGTATCAAAGAAATCATAACCTTCCTTTTGTTTAAAGCCTTTGACCACCAAACGTGCTTTAAACTTATCAATCGATCCATCAGCTTTATATTTTTTCTTTAGGATCCATTTGCATCCTAAAGGTTTACAACCATCAGGGAGATCAACCAACTCCCAAGTATGATTTTGCATAATGGACTCAATTTCGCTACTTACAGCTTCTCCCCAGAGTGGTCCATTTGGGCTGGACAGAGCTTCCTTAAGGGAACTCGGTTCATCG